ACTATCACAACATTATTCATTTGTGCTCAAAAATGCTCAACGTTAGATTTATATATTTTTTTTTCTTAAAACCTAAATAACAAAAATGTGGCAAATATATTCCTGGCAATGAAATCGGGTATAATGTTGCGTGTAAAGTTGACCTAGACCCACCCCCCATCCACGGATACTGTCAAAAAATTGTATGGAAATTAAAGTTACTCAAGACTGTAAATATTGTCCTTGAGAGTTAATTTACCCGAGTCCAAAGTTACAAGTAATCGAGAACAAGTTTGGGCGAGATGCGCACTCCGCGCCAATGTTACGCTGCAGCACGTGGACAGGTGTACGTAACTGGCGCGACGTTTGCACATCACATACGTCACGGTGTGTACAGATCAGTGCACAGTCGTAGATAACACGTCACATACGTCACAGTACACACACATCACAAATATCACGGTGTTTGCAGATCACAAGTACATTATGGTGTCACTGTCACTGTGTGTAGACCAGTGTGCAGATTAATTAACATGTTTTTTGTAAAAAATTATGCTGTCCTCATCAGACTAAACATTTAACGATTCGTCACGTGCCATTTAACCTAGTTATTCATGATCACACTGTCACCAACTCTTCGTAATTGGAGCGGAGGCAATACCGAATACTGAAATAGAGTTTTTTGGAAATATTCAAATCGACACATCTTTTAATATCCGCCCACTTGAACAAAGATTATCCACAGACCAATTGTTTTTAGGACTACATTGATTTCCTGATAACATTAATATTAAAACCCTAACCGCAATTGAAGGTAGAGCGCTAACTAAAATTACAGATTGTGTAAATTTCTTTATTTGTAATTTAATTTAATTTAAAGAAATTTGATGTTAAATAGATAACTACAAATGAATAATAACATGAATTCATTGTTCGAAGAAAATATATGTACAATGTATATATAAAGAAATAATTCAATACGTCCACAATTTTGGTTCGGTGGCCCATGGTAAACACATTATATATTTTGTCTTTACAATAATTAGCAATGCAAGTATATTCAAATACCATGTACGCATACTACCGCCAGGCTTGTTTCATGGTCAGTTTCAAATTCACCGTCAATAACGGAGAGAGATTTATTTTGGTATCGCTGCGCATTTATTACAAAGGTGCCCATAATGCGTATTGGATTCTTGGCTAGATAAATATTGTCTTCAGTTAGAGTTATAATAGTATATCAGATTGGAACTAGTGTAGTCAATTTAAGATTAGTGAGATTAGAAAAGTGATTGGGTAATTTAAATAACATACTCCAATGCACTGTCACAGTGATTCCTATTTCGCTTGAATCATTTATGAGATGTACTTCGTAATATTTAATTAGTGTATGACATTGGGGTTACATTCTATTATCTCTCATTGAAATTATACATCAGTCATTACTTATTCTAGCATAGCATAGTAGACCAGACCATAGCATAGCATAGTATAGTAAATCATAGCATAACAGTTTATAGCATAGCATAGCATAGCAAAGTAGATCATAGCATATCATATCACAGCATAGCATAGCAGTTCATAGCATAGCATAGCATAGCATAGCATACATAG